ATACAGGTATCTAGACTGAGCTATTAAATGGGTAGATGGAAGTGCGTTTTTCAACATGCGATATTTCCGACTTCAAGTAGTTGTGAGTACTAGACATGGTCTCATAACAGTCGTTTAATCGGAAGTTTCCATGGGTAATAGCAATAACTATGTTTCTACCATTTCATCGGATGTGCACATTTATATGAGGAATATTGGGCGATTTATTATTAAATGCTTGCCGTACTAGGTCATTCAGCTCCATCGGGTTCCGGCTGAGATACACGCCAAGTTAGAATAAATGTGCACTATGCTTACACCTGATCTCATGCAATTGCTGGATGAGCTCGCTCCCCAGTGCCCTAAAATGTACGATTAATTTCCGCCTGTGAGGACAGCGAATGGTCCGGAGGCGTAACACTCGGTGCTAAATGTTTTAAGAATCCGGGGGACTACGACGGTGGTTTCATTAAAAACTGGTTTAAAGCAATCGAATTTCAGACGCGCGCTAAGTATTACTTTGATCTCAGGTTAGCACAGGTTACAACAAATATCCGGTGCTCTGTTATAATATGAACAATAAAATGGTTTTGCGTGGTAGGAAATAGGTAACCTGATTAAAGCTTTAGAAAAGATACAGCAAACGGATAGTGATATTGCATGTTGTTCAAAACTTGCACAGTGCGGACAATGACTCTGTCATACCCTCGTAGTCACTTGTGTGAAAAGGAAAGGCATGATGTTGTAATAAATATACCTAATAAATTTTGAGTTGGTAACCGTTTTAAACCCCCATAAATCGGCAGTATCTAACAAAGTGCATACTGCGATATTCCAACTGCTTGCCAATAATCTTCAGTATCCTGTCTTGGATCTTCTCAACCGTTATCTTAACCGTTATCCGGAAAGCAGGACTGAAAGTGGATGACTATTGTGTCAGTTCATAAGGGTATGCCGATATGTGCCAAAAAATTATGGACCTGTCATTCTGACAACTGCTCTACTTATATACCTGAAGAATCCTATTAGGCACCGGAGTTACTAGCACTTGTTTGTCAACAACTTACTCGGAGTGGACCAGCATGACTTGAAGAAAAGAATTCATTTCTTGCAAATCTGCTATATATTCGGAGGAAATAATTTGGTATTTGATAAGAGGATTCCAGTGGTTGTCTGCAATATGGACCATAGGAAAGCAGTTGCTTCGATTAATCATTTATTTTACGAGAGATCATGACTTCGTTTTCGGATTTGACTTACGGTAACCAGTTTAATGTTTCAGTTGGGGAGGCCAAACATTGGATGTGCACTGTGTATTGAGAATTCATCCGGAGTTCAGTACTAGGATGGCTGTTGTTCCTTATGTTCTCGTGGGCCTGTCTCGTTGTTTTATGGATATGAAAAGCTGGTCAGTGGAAGTACCAGAAATACGTTGTTCAGCGACCTGGTTACGGTAGCGAAATTGTCTCTATTATGTGCTTCGTCAAAGAATGCCAACACATAACATACGTGTAAGTAAGTAAGTAAGGAATTACGGTACATGGTGGATAGCTTCAATCTCTCAGCATGGTGTCATTATGCAGCTAAGAAAAATCGGTGAGAGATCCTTCACCTTAGGTGAGCAGTCTGCAGTGGTAGACATGAGATCTACCTATATATCTACATGGCAGTTACGGTACTGTGTTCAGGCTTGGGCACCGTAGCTTTAAAATAATGCCGTTTTCTCTGAAAATTAAAAATGACTGGCGCTAAGATGATTGAATGCTAGCCTGAAAAGTCTTATTTTGACGGACTAGCTTTTAACTCTTGTTCCCAGTGGCATGTCACAGTAGAAGTGAAGAGCAAATAAAATTGTTTAAGAATTTGCTTGGTACTAGAGACATTTATTTTACTAACATATTAGGCCTAGCTACTTCGGAAAACCTGCGGGACAACAACTGAAGCCCATGTTGCAGATTTTAAAAATGAATATCGGGAAAACAATTTCCACGAACTGCGTCTAACATGGTTGGAATTCAATACTGCTTACACTTATTCTATGCAATAGATGGATGCCTTTAAAAGAACCCCGTACTTGAAATAGTCGACTCTGTTTCTGTGTCAGGACTGACGGTAATGCACGTTGGATCAAATTGTCCTTGGTCGGTAGGATGTCTTAGATAGGTTATTGATGTTATGATAGATGGCTTCCTACCGTTACTCTCGGAGGGGAACTCAATATCTAAACTACCTGTCACAGTTCTTTATCGAAGTCTGTTACAACGCAGAGTATAACAACATTGTTGCTGATGTGTTATCACGTGCTTATCTGCACCAAATGTCACCGGCACCCAATGACCAAGAGTAAATTCTCATTGCTCAAACAATGATCCTGAACCTGTCCAGCGTAGATCAAAGGCCTAAATATAGTTCATATATTTACGTGTGCTTAAATCTGATACGAGTTTACTGTGATCTTTCAAACGGTAGGCAAGAGCTCTTCGCTTCACAGTCATTCCGTCGAATCATTTTTAAATCATACTCATGGACGATCACATCCGAATTTTAGTCTAACTTTAAGCTCATTAATGCCCGATTAATATGGCATAATTGGGTTCTAATACTCGACATTTAGCTAAACATTGTCTCATTTGTCAGAAAGGCAAATTGCATCGTCGTACTAGCAGTAACCCGGGCAGGTTATCATTAACTGTCTTTCGTTGCAGACACTTGCACGTGGATGTAGTTTGGCCGTTAACCTCTTCCAATGGTTTCATTAATTCGTTGATATATGCTAACCGTTTTACCAATTGGCTACAAGCTGATCCTCTGTGTGATACGTCTATCAAATTTGTTGCCCGAGTATTTGTCAAATCGTGGATTTCCCTTTTTGGCGTTCCAGCCACCAACACCACCGACAGAGGTACCTATTTCAGTTCCATGCAGTTCAGCGCTTTAAGCCGCTTGCTAGGTTGTGTTCACATATGGAAGCCACCTACCGTCCCTCAGCCAATGACGTCATCAAGCGTTTTCATCGACCGTTAAAAGCCGCCATCATGACTAGTTCACCTGATTCACGTTGGTTTGAGCACCACCCTGCCATTCTTCTTGGCATTTGCAACACAACCAAAGGGAACATCATGTGCTGCTCAGCAGAAATCTTGTTCGGTAAATCCCAGAATCCATCTGGTGAAATGTTTCTAGACTATCGTGGCACCGGAGAACAAGAAATCACCTCGTATTCTGAAGGTCTCAAACAACATTTCCGAACAATTCGATTGACTTCTAGGTGACCGGAAGTAGGTGAACGATAAATCCACCCGTATTTCCAAAATTGTCCATTTGTGTTTATCTGCATCGACGCTATTTAAAGAGCTTTGACATGATCTTATAAAGTCCCATTGAGGTCTTTTCCCAGAAAGATAATTACTTCATTTTGAAAAGGAATGTCATACCATTACGATTGCTAAATTAGCACAAACTGAATACTCCTTTGTGGTATTGACATGCGATGCACGAACACAGCCTCTTTTGAACAGCTGCACAACAAAAATGTATATTATGCTGATGTTTTACGTATGTATTCAACATACGCTCCAGAAATTGGGTTTGGTTGCGCGAGTTATTTGCGTACTTATCTCGTTGGCTGACAATGCACAATATTCGTTCTTTAACTCTACACAGTTCTTCGTCCATCCGAGAACCAACCGCTTAGAAAATCAAGCAACTTCTATCTCAAGGCTTTTTGGAATTATCCATTGTTTGAATAAGAGCGAGGTTTGATTAATTTGACAATATCGACATTACTTTCTCACTTACAGATAATCCGAGCAGTCATATTTAAATAATTATCTTTACTGCCCGGCAACACCAGTTCTCGTCGTGCCATAATGCTCACGCTCTTTAGCTGAGAACTTGTGGATAACAATATTTAAGCAAACACGTGATACAAAACTTGCGTATTTTTATATTTTCTCTAACCCTAAGCAAATTTTATCAACTAAAGTGACACCTTACCAAGCGTTTCCATGACGATGGTTGGTAATTTGTTCGTCTTTGCCATGCATTAATCTGTTTCACATCCGGATTTACCCTTTTGCTGTTTGTCGTTTTACCGATTGATAAGTGTTAATATTTAGGTTTTTCCAACTTTAGCCTCTCTGTTTCTTTATACACCAATGCGGATGAAATTCAAGTTCCCACAAATGGCGAAATTTATGATATTTCTAACAGCGCTAGCCCTCATACGCCGGCGAGATCAGAATATGGCGGCACACAATGCAACGACTGCCAACAATAGTAACAACAGCAGTATACTTGCCTGACTGCTTATCAAAAGGCATTGCTATCCACCAGCGACAGTCTGCATTTTAGCTGCATCAGTTGTTGTGCACTCCAACAAGGCCGTCCCTCTTTCCTATGTCCAAACGCCGAAACTGTTGACGCCTGAGTGCAATGGGTGGAGCAATCATTCAACACACTAGCCACCGCGGTCGCGAACATAAATCACAAGTTGGACCTAGTATGGAGGGCGCTTGCACTCCCTAGCGAAGGAGCCCTGAGTGGTCACGTTACACCAAACTTTGGCATCAAACTTGTGACACCAACCATCGTGTTACCCGTTCCGTTGGCTGTAGACAGCATACTTAGCCCTACTATA